GAGCATCTTACGGTGAAATTCTCAAATGGGCTACCGAGTAGTATACAAAGAGTGGGACTCAGAAAGGGATCCTTCTCGATACCCAAGCGTAAAAGGTTGCAAACCTTGCAGTTTATGACGAAACATCCTCAACACATCATTAAGAAGAGAGCAAATTCGTGGGAAGTTCTCGGTATACCACCACTCATGCGGCAAAAAGGAGGTAATAACTACAATGCATACTTGAAAAGCGTTAAGAAAGTTCTTTCCCAAGTACCAGATCACAGTTTGAGCACCTCCACCCTGTTGGAACTGCAAGCCGATCCGCGAGTAAAGCGTCTATATGACACCCACTTCAAAAACAATCCCGATCACATCAGTTACCCGTCTGTGAGAAATGTGATTGCATCCAACATACTCAACTATGATTCCACTACCGATCAAGTTCGCGATTCCGTTTCAGATGTCAGGAAGAAGAGAAAGGCACCTTTAACATCGGTGCCTTTCAATCTACTACAAGATCATGAATTTGACCGATGGATCCTGCAAATCCTGGACAGTTTCCTCCGGCATACAAATATACCGGTAACCTTTTTGAAGAGCAACTATTTCACAAGCCGATCACAACTGCTGCAACTCTACGATGAAGATCGACTGAGGTTCAGGAGTCGGGTGGAAGCGGCTGCGGATGCCCTGAAGACGCAGACGATGAACGACTACACTACTCTGGTCAACGAGACGAATCGCATCTACATGTCCAGGTACCCGTTTGCAGCCATAGCAGGTGCCATGGGAATCAACAAACACGTCGATGGGTTCCTTCGATCAGAACGAAAGATTCAGGAACTAACCACCCTTGTGATAGCTATACTGGGATCACAGCTCAAGTTTCAAGATCTCAACGATATGACTTCCACCTATGGTAGAACAACAGAAGCAAAATTGATCCATCCCGAGCATTTCATGATCAGAGCACAAAAGGTGATGGTGGACGATGCATCATTCATTCAACAGGTGCTGAAGGACAAAAGCAGGATCACTCGTATCATCAAGGATATCCTGAGCGGACGCTCCATGTGATCACGTGCCAAATATTTTCAGGCTATGATCAAGAATGGACTATCCTCTCAGCAGTGCCGATATCAAAGGAAGATTGAATGGTGTCGGAGGGTTCGTGGGCTGCACGAGTTACGACCTCTTGCCACCCTTGAACAATGGAGACTTTTGTATCGTCAACACCGACAACGTTCTACCGGTGTACGATGCAACGGAAGGCGGACATCATTGGTTGACCGTGTGTCGCGAGAAAAACGTGATCCTGGTTTTTGACAGTTTCGGACGCAGTCTATACACTATGGAGCAAGATTACACTGAACCTGCACTGTGCGATTTCTTTAAAGAAGCCTACGCAGACTGTAAGATCATCACCAACACCCAAGCCGTTCAAGACAGAAGCACAGCAGTATGTGGATGGTATGCCATATTGATGGGAAAGCTATTTTCCAAATATGGTCTGGATGAAGCACTTCGAATTTTCCGAAGAGTCTTTGATGATGACGAAAAGCTGGAAAACGATCAACTGGTTCTCAGTTCAGGTGCCCTGGAAGGTGCTGGAGCCTTTTGGGACAACAAAGTGCAAAAGGCAATTCAGGATGGAAGACGGAAGAAGAAGACAGAACCCGCACAGTTCCATACGAAACTGGCTAACGAATTGCACAAGCCCAGACGAGTGCATTTCAAAAGACGCAAGGTGAAGAGCAGAGCAATTGACCATATATGGAGTGCAGATCTCGTGGATATGCAACGGTTTGCCCGAAGCAATAAGAACATCAAATTCCTGCTAACAGTCATCGACTTATACAGCCGCTATGCCTGGGCAATGCCTTTGAAATCGAAGACGGGTACCGCCGTGAGAGATGCGTTCGATAAGATTGTCAGTACATCCGGAAGGACACCGCTAAAACTCTGGGTAGACGAAGGCAAGGAATTCTACAATGCCCCCATGAAACGATGGTTATCACAACACAACGTCATCATGTACAGCACCCATAACGAGGGTAAAGCGGTGGTGGTCGAGCGCTTCAATAGAACGTTGAAGGCAAGAATGTGGCGTCACTTTACAGAGAAATCCACGAACACGTACCTCAATGTCCTACCTCATCTACTAGACCGCTACAACCAGTCAAAGCATAGAAGCATTGGGATGACACCTCACGAAGCATCGAACGGTAGAATACCAAAAGATGCAGATCAACAAGACCCCCTACAGTCAAAACCCAAGTTCAAAGTGGGTGACGAGGTGCGCCTAACCGTATCTAAGCGTCATTTCGAGAAGGGCTACACTGCGAACTGGACGGAGGAAGTATTCGAGGTGGATGAAATCCTATCAACATCACCACACACCTACAGGATTCGTGATCTGATGGGAGAACACATCATCGGATCGTTTTACGAAGCAGAACTGCAACACGCCAGAGAGACCGGTTTGAGATTCGACAAGGTGTTAAAATACAACAAGGATCAACGTCTTGTGCAATGGAAAGGCTACACAGATAATAAATTCAATACCTGGCTCACAAAGAAGGATGTGAACAGTCTTCGGTCATGATTCACAATGTCATTCATATTGAAAAATAAAAAATAAATGATTGAGTGCTATGTACAAGCTGATGGCGTTCATGAGAATTATCGCATGAGTATGAGGGGTATACTGCTGGACACTTTCACGAGTGCGTTAGCACGACGAAAAATATAAGGGATACGGTATGTACAGAGTACGAATGGTATAATCCAGTTATCCCATGTACTATTCCAAATAGAGCGCGATCAGCACTAAGACATGTATCGATTATCCCACGAGTACGAGCAAGAGTACATGTACTCTTGGTACGAGGGGTACACCGCTAGATATTTTCATGAGTGCGTCAGCACGATTGAAAATATAATGGGTACGGTATGCACAGAGTACGAATGGTATAATCCATTTATCCCATGTACTATCCCAAATAGAGCGTGATCAGCACTAACATCTCCCTTATTTACTCTGTCGCAAGACCCGGGGAATATTCGTGCTCCGAGCGGGGAATATCGCTCTATTGACAGTTGAGTCCTCTTTCCAAGATTCCTTTTGAATTCCTCTCTACCATCTCTGTATGAGAAGAGACCACGGAATTCCGTATATGTATAGCATCCACCGATCGTGCAGTTCGCTGTGATGTCATTGCACAGTGTATGTATATTATGTGCATGTGTGTGTGTGTGTGTTTGTGTGGTACATGATGCATCCTACAATCCACTGTGACGTCAATGCACACTCCATGATGTGCGCATCCATGGTCCGTGTGCCTTACGTATTTCCACCCCTGAAAATATATGAAAATCAAGTACTATGAGAGTAAGAATTATATGAGCAGAAAGCTAGAAAAATCCTCCGTCTCATCGACCTTTCAATAGAAGAAAGGCATTCACATCTCAATCTGATATCATAGTCGAAAGATTCCAAACCCGAACAAAAAAGACTCACCATGACGGGGGCGTCTTTCCGCTTTCGAAACACATCGTGTTCTCCAAGGTCGTCACCTCCCCGTGGCGTGACCCCTTGGTCTTGTTTGAGACGTCTAGACGTAGCCTTGTTTACAAAGGTCATCGCGGCGTGAACTTTGACCTCGAGGTGAAGTAGTCTCAACCTGCAGTTTCACTATCGACTCCTTCTTGCAGTGTGAAGAAGCTAAAATGGCGTGGACATTTTCTGAGACGTGCAGAGCAGAGAAATGGTATTTATTTTCATGCGATAATGAAGAGTTCTCAATCCGTCGCCTCAGTGCTAGCAAGACAACCAGGGATCTTGACCCGATGATAGCACATCCCAGAAGATTCGATATGTCACCACTCACTGCTGCTGAGTATATTATCTGCAGGGTCACCAGTCTGATCTTGAATGTGAAGAATAGGAAACAGCACCTTCCTAAAATCGTCATCGGTGGTGTGGAGGACTACGGAACTATTAGTGAGACTGATGATGGTGTCATACTGCGAAGGTGGACTGATGGTAGACACTCATTCTACAAGCTTAGTGACATGCGTGACGAACCGTGCTCTCAACACATCATCGACCTCTTCGCTGATGCAACCTATTTGGATTCCAGCGACGTAATGCAACTTGTCAAGGAGGTGAACGAAAAATGAAGTCTCTCGAGTTGATCGTGTGCGTGTACGACGTAGTACCAAGGCCGTTCAACTCCGTGCCGTTGCAACAAGAGTAACGCGGATTCGTGTGCGAGTTGGTACGATCGACATCGGCGACGATGGATTTATCTCCAAATTACCCGAGTCGACTGTTGACACGATGGCGGTGCAAAGGAGGTCGTCGACTGACAGTTCCATTGCTGACTGGGTGGAACCATTGGTGCACATCAGAGCGTCCGACAACTCCACCTCGTACTGCGTGTCACGGAAGAGATCATGGGTGAATCCATCCTCACACGTATTCGAAGAGTAAACTTTGTGGTCTCTCATCCAATACCAGCTTGATGAAATCAGGACAACAAGAACTGAATTGTACTACCTTTCTCCTCCACTCCATTGCGATATTCACTGTTCGTTCCATTATTCTTTGTAATGACATGTATCGTATCTATCAAGAACTGACCTTTCTGACGTGTGTGCGAGCAGGACCATTTTTGAAAAATTGCATGGGGAGGTGGGGTAGGTCACGGAAAAAACTTCATGATAAACACCATATTCAACATTCTACTTTTTATACCCACTCCCATCCGGGGCAAGGTGGCCCAAAAAAGTGAGATTCAAACCCACATGTGCACAACACATATTTTCAATAATACCCCATTTTTTTGAGGTAGGGGCACCCCCTGGCACATATTTTTATCCGCAAAAAAACCGGGCCAAAAATAATTTTCACCGCAAAAATGGGGTACTATTAGTACCCCATTTTTCAATAATACCCCATTTTTTGGGACCCGGGCGCCCCCTGGCACAGAACCCGCTCGTCCCTTACTACTCCCATGATTGACCAGGATGATATCGACCTGGCCACCGTGCAACGGGATGATGTGTTGCGTCGCCTGGTCCACATCAAACAGCTGACCGATCACTTCTGGACAAGGTGGCAAGCAGAGTACTTGCTGGAGCTACGCAATGCTCACCGAAAACCACAGTCTGCAAGTCGCGGAGCCGAAGTTGGCGTGGGAGATGTTGTGGTCATACACGAGGATGGTGTGGCCCGCGGATTATGGAATTTGGCAAGAGTGGAGAAGTTGCTGACAAGCAAGGATGGACAAGTCCGCGGAGCAGTCGTGAAACACACCACCAACGGCGGTCGCGTGACATGTTTGCGCCGTCCACTGCAACTGTTGTATCCCGTTGAGTTAGGCGAGCACCGTGAGAGTAACACACCCGATGACGTCACATCCGCTGATTCAGTGGTACCAGCTCCCGTCACTCAGCCATCTGTACCGGAGCCGAGGGCATCTAGAGCGGCAGCCACTCGAGCGAACAGTCTGCGGTAGCAGTTGATCCTGCAAGGCAGAGTATGACAATCTGTTATTTATGTTCGCTGCTCTCTCTCTCTCTCTCTCTCTCTCTCTCTCTCTCTCTCTCTCTCACACACACACTCCTTTTTTTGGATTACGCATTTGACCAGTAATACTTGCAATATCATAAGTATTCGTTGTTGAGCTACAATACATGCATTCGTTCAGCCCTATGTACCTCAACGGAGGGAGTGTTAGATATTGTACATCAACGGAGGGAGTGTTAGATATTGCATGCATCTCTTGTATTTATGGCTACTGTGTGTTACCGTCGGAAAACATTACTATATATTGTTACATGTACGTCTATGTCAAGTCAACCCTGTTCCCATTCGTTTCAGTCTAGTTCTATACTTACTGCCATGACTTGTCCAGTTTATGATTATACAGTCTTCTTCGTTTCCTGTCGTATTGCTTTCGTTTACCGGAGACTTCTACGGTATGTCTCTATTTGCCTCCACGATGTCCTTATCCTGACACTAGCATTTTCTGCGTCGCGTACGGCTGGTGGGAGCCGTCGTGATGTAGAGGCTTCCTCATCATTACTACTTGGAGGACAGTCACGAGTTTGAGTATCTCTGATACTATTGATAATGATTCTTACTGAAGTATGAGGAGAATTGTTTCCGAGTGGAAAGACACTGAGTGTCTATGTGTAATAACTAAATGAGCTCAACGAAGCGCCAAAACGTCCTTTAGGATTCTACTACTACTGTAGTATAGGCTAATGATTACTTATTATTTCTTACACTTTGTATTTCCTGCTCCTGTCCACGTGACGAATCTCTGGCCTTGTAAGCTGCGCGCATGCCCACGTGTTTCTTGCCTTTCTCTCTCTCCGTCATCATGACAAGTAACATTAGTTTTACTATCGATATGAACTGTTTGAGTGTCTGATGAAACCTGGAAAGAGTCTGGTATTACTATCCTACATTGGTGGCAGCGGTGGGATTCGAACCCATGCCTCCGGAGAGACCGGACTCCAGTCTCTCCGGAGGCGTAGGTTCGAATCCCACCGCTGCCACTAATGTTGTAACTCGCTTTTCTCTACCTGCTCCCAGTCCTGTGCCATCTCCACACTTATACAAAGGGACGACGATAACTACATTTAGAAGACTATGACAAGACGACGGAACCACAACTATACATGACGAACTCAAGACGAAGACTGCTTTTCACACCACAGCAACACGCGCATGCACCAACATGACGTACACAAAATAACGTACTACAACACTACTAGTACGGGCAGAACCAGAGTAGGATCTCTAAAACTTCCTTGTATTAGCTATTTTCATTATGTGCCATGAAGTGCAAACTGTAAATACAATAAATATATATAAATGCAACGGTACAAGATCATCCTGCACCCGAGGATAACCTGCCTGAAGCTAGAGATACTTCAGACGACAACATCTCTCCGCAGGACCAGAAGATCAAGATTCTGTGGGATTTCACGACCCGGTGCGATCGCTTCATTGAGCCCCGATGGCCTGATATTGTTCTGGTTGATGGACCTGCCAAGAAGGCCCTGATCATTGACATTGCTGTACATGGTGATCTATGCGTTGCTGAAAAGGAAGCTGAGAAACGTGCAAAGTATCAACTTCTTGCTCGAGAAATCCATCGGCTATGGCAAGTTGAGACTCAGATTGTTCCTGTGGTAGTTTGGGCACTGTTTCAAAACAGTTGCCAGGATACCTTGAAACCATCGGTATCACCAGCTACTGCTCTGTGTCTGAATTGCAAAGAATACTCTCTATGCCTCTGTAGCTATCCTGCATAAGATCCTTGATTTGTAATGCTCTGCTGTGGGTGGTGGAGTTCTTTTGGTCCTATTTTACTCCAAAACCTCTCTTGTTTCATATTATCAATATTTAAAAAGTGTTGTGTGTTTCTCTCCGTTTTTACCTGCGATCGTAATTAATAACCACAATTATGATGCATGGCCCCACCTTTGGCTGCTGGATGCTAGTCCGGTGGGTGCCAATCTCCGGCGCTTCGATCGAGTGCCGATGAATAAAAAACAGATCACGTAATGAAGCAGCATAACGATAGATGTGCAAAGTCATGATGGTAGGTCTGCTTTTGTCCTGGGTTCTAGGCATATGCGGATAATGCTCGGGAAATTGCATATTTCTGCTTTTCATTCTGCTCTGCAAAGTATGGGTTTCTGCTCCATGCGAAGCTCAATAATATGGCATGTATAGCGATAAAATGGTTCCAAACAGGGATATTAACATTATTGTCTCAGACACATGAAACTGTTGTGCTGCATGCGTGTACATAATACATTACGATCATAGCCTGGAGTGCAGTGATGGCGTTTAGCAAACGTTGATTGGATTGTAGGAACCACACAAACTGCTCGGGAGAATGCAGCAGTGCTAAATGCACAGCAAACAAACAAAAGCAAAGACTGGACCAGTACACGCTTTAGTACTTCACTAGTCAATAGTAGGCAACATGTATGACACATGTGTACAGACGGGAACACACATAGATGGAACAAATACAACAGCTGTCTGAGTCAGTCAGGCTGCATGTCATGAAGGGATACAAAACGATGGACTGATGGAGCCCACCCAGTTGCTTCAAACAACCTTACCATAATTATGGTGAAAAATAGAACCGTACTATATCGCTGTTACATGGTAGAATGAAGGTGCAGCTCAGTTATCTGCCACGATTATACTGCAGCATTAGTGATGTCTCGAGGTGGTCAGCTAGTAGCGGCTGCTGCTGGCTGGAAGTAGTAGCTTGCAGTAGCGAGAACACGCGCTCAGCAGGGGCTGATGAGGGCAGCATCGAGTACACAACTCTGGCGGCATTCTGCCAAGCAGGCAAATTGCCATGTACTTTCCACCATGCCAAGGGTGAGTGTGTAACCTTGGCCTGAGGTTACAATTACATTCACAGGAGCATAAACTCCCCAGCCCCAGCCAGGCACCAGTTCCAATCATGACAAGACGTTGAGATCAAAACTGCAACTCTCAAGTCCAAAACATTCTCTTCAAGCAAAAGGAAAAAGCCAGCATCATAACAGAGCGAGCCAACGAAATGATACGCATGCGTGTGTGCCTGTGAGTGTGTACGAATGACGTATGCATACACGTTATGAAGTAGAGTCACATTCATAGCTATAATTAAGAGTGGAAATATTACTACGCCAAACGGAACATGTGCAACATGTTACAACTCCCCCCCTCTCGTTACAGAGGGAACGATAGTGACCGAAAGTTACAAAGCTTAGAGCATATCCGTGATAGCTTTCTACATGAGAAAATTAAATACTGGAAAGTGAAATTTAATAGTGTGGGCGCAAGTATGTTACAAGTGTAGCTAATCGGTGTGAGGTATAATGGAAAGTTTAGAAACTACTAATGCTGAGTAAGTGGACTGTGAAACAGCAAGTGAAAAGCTCGACATTATTCATACTAACCTAACAACAGGTAAGACTGTGTGAAATATGTGTATAGAAATAGAACTAAGAATGTACAATTTCTCAATAATCACACTGTACAGTCATAGACACTCACTGAGCAAACCTTGACGGCGGCTGAATGTTTGCACGGTTCCGCAGCGTGCTGCGGCTGGTGGCGGCACCCGCGCGGCAGCAACTACTGGTGCAGGTGGCGCCTGCACTGGAGCAGGGATTGGTACTGGTTGCACATTATACTCAACATCAGGCGTTTAGTCGGCAATAGAAGTCGGAGGCGAGTTCGGTACGAGCTCAGTGGCACTTTCAGGCAGATCAGAGCCAGTCCAAGCCTTCAGACGGTCAACGTGAACAGTCTGGGTCGTGCCGGATTTGTCAACTATCCGAAGTACTACATCGTCAACACGTTCTAGCACAGTGTACGGGCCTTTCCAAGGTCGATGGAACTTGGAAGTCGTACCTGGTTTGACAGCAGGAGAATGCAACCGAACCATGTCACCAACGTAGAGTTTCGGTTGTTTAGCGTGCTTGTCATAGTGGGCCTTCTGCCGTCGTTGGGCTGTTGCTCCAGCATCACGGGCATGCGTGAACGCTCGTTGTAGATTGCGTCGTAAGTTGATAACATACGTGTTCATATGGGAGCGCTCAGAGTCTGGTGACTGAACCATCACATCAACAGGCAGGTGGATTTCATGACCTAACATGAGCATCGCTGGCGTCTCCTTGGTCGAGGAGTGCACACTAGACCGGTAGGCTAGCAGACAACGTTGCAGATGACGGTCCCAATTGGTGTGGTGGTCGTCGACGTGAGCAGCCAGCATTTGCTCCAGTGTGCGATTCATCCTCTCGACTAAGCCGTCACTCTGGGGCCGGTATGCTGTTGTACGTGACTTTCCGATATCCAACTGCTGACAGATCTGCTGGAATAACCTCGACTCAAATTGGGCACCACGGTCAGAGTGCAGCTGGTATGGAATACCATAACGACAGAAGAAGCCGTCAACAAGGACATGTGCTATTGTTTCAGCAGTAATATTCTGTACAGGAAACGCTTCTGGCCACTTAGTGAAATAGTCACAAACGATGACTAAATACTTGTTACCGCTAGGCGTAGTAGGCAGTGGGCCCACAATATCAATAGCAACTTTCTCTAGCGGGAATGATGGGCGGTCTTGGACAAGCGGAGCTTTGGCCTTTGGTAGTGGTGCTTTGCGGCTCTCACAAATATCACATGCTTGGCAAAAATCACTAACTGCAGACGACATGAAGGGCCAATAACACCGCCTGCGAAGCTTGTCTTGTGTTCGCTCAATACCTAAGTGGCTTCCAGAGACATCAGCATACACAGACTGAAGCATGCAGGATTGCAGAGACTGTGGTACAACAAATTGTAGGTATGGTGTGTTGCTATTCTCGGGGTGGTAAACCCGGTACAACACTCCATCAACCAGTCTAAGCCGCTTCCACTGGCTCCATAATCGTATCAATGCTATAGACGCACCGTGCATGGCAGGATCACTACGCAGGGGCCTGTCAA